TGCAAGGGCCTGAGTTCAATCCCCGGTTCTGCAAAAAAAAAAAAAAAAAAAAAAAAAAAAACTACATTCAGATTCCCTCTCATCCCAGTCAGAATTACTAATGTTATAATATTACAAGAACAGTTAATGCCTGTAAAGATGCAGGGGCAGAAGGAACTCTCCTGTACTGTCAGTGAATGTATGAGCTACTAGACCAATCACCATTGGAATCAGTATAGAGACTCCTCAAAAAAATAAAACTAAAAATACAGTACAACCCAGCAGTAGCACTCATTGGTATCTCCCCTCAAAATGCAGCAATACAGCGGTGATACATGGATATCCATGTCTCTCGCAGCGCATTTCTCAATGGCTGAGTTGGGAAATCAGCCTAGATGCTTATCAATAGATGAGTGGATTTAGCAAATGTGGCGTACGAGTATCGTGAAACGTCAGTCCACCATAGATAAGAAGGAAATCACGTCATCTGCAGGAAGTGAGTGGAGCTGGAGTTCGGGGTGTTATTTGCTGAAAATCAGCCTCGGAGTCAAGTACTGTATGCTTTAAGCATGAAGGGCACGCAAAGTGGTAAGGAAAGGGAGAAGGGTATAATGGGGATAGAATAATAAAAATACCCAATATACCCAAATGAATCTTCTTCTGTCATAGTAATATGCAGTAACGAACAAGTGTGTTGAATTTCTGCAAAAAGGAAGGTAAGCCTGAGTGCCAAGAGGAAGAGGTTTCTTTTTTAAAACTGGCACACACTTTAGGCAGAAGGAACTTGTAAAACCTCTTTTCATCTTTATTGTGTTACGGAATGCATTCCAGGCCTGGCTCTCTGGTCCTGATGTGAAAGGAGGGTGCGCCCCCGGCAGGCAGACTGAGAGAAAGCAGGCGCAGTGCAGGCTTTCAGGGCACAAAACGGGGAAGCTGCGGAGCAAAGCCAGGAGTCCCGCACAGTATCCTGATCTGCTGCAGGAAAGCGTAGGATAAACGAAGTGGTGGGCAACGTTCTGAGTCCAGCCAGACAAAAATGGAAGCATCAGGACAACCTTTCAAGACCCACCTCAGTGCAGATGTTCAAAGGCAGGTGAGATCAAGGACCTTGGCCACCCAGATCAGTTTATAGGAAGATGATGACCTGGAACAGGTAAATAGCAAAGCCAGGTGGCCCCAGAAGTAGAATTGCAACCAACAATCAGTAAAACTCTTTGCCAGAACTGGACAAGTCAAGACGAGGGATGTAATAGGAAATGGTCCATATAGACTCTCTTGAGTTGTGTATACATCTTCCTGATTGGTAGAGAGTGGGTGGTTCCAAGGGCCAGCCAAATAGCTCAGCGGATTAAAGCACCTGCAAGCAGGTGCAGTGGCCAGGGGTTCGATCCCCAGGACTGCTGTGCTGGCCCTGCCCCCAGGGTGCATGAGACAGCAATTGAGACTGGGTGTGGTGGCACACATCTGTAATCCTAGCTCTTGGGAGGCTATAAACAGGCAGATCACTATGAGTCTGATCTAGTAGTGAGACACTGAACACCCTGTAGACCCTTCCCTAAAATGAGAGAGAGAGAGAGAGAGAGAGAGAGAGAGAGAGAGAGAGAGAAAGAGAGATTCCAAACTAAATTCCTCCTGACTGGGAGATGTTAGGCTTCAGACTTGAGGGCCTGCAGAAGCCAGATGGAGTGTGGGATCTGGGACTGAGGAGGGCATACTCTAGAAGGAAAACCGGACTGTGACGTCAGGTGTAGGGAGACTACAAGAATCTTAATGCGCGAGGTCAGGGGAGGACTGTGAACAAATGCCAAGTGGCAAGTCAAGAACGAGTCACGGAGACAGTGAACGTGGATGAGTGTGGACGGGGCTGGAAGAGAGGTGGCCAGATTCTTGTGTGTGGTGAGCCCGATGGCCGTAGCTGTGGCTAAGGCTGCTTTTATCCTTGTGTTGTCTGGTGAGGATTTTCAGTGTAAAAAACTCGGGTCAGAGATTTCAGGATGGGAATTGGCCTCAGACCCTGGCGATAGCTGTGAGGTTACCACAGTACATGGAACTTGTCCTCACACATGGGCAAGGAACATTGGTGAGGAGAACCGTAGAAGGGCATGATTGTGGCTGGCATCTCTGACTGTTGTTTATCAGTTGTTGTTGAACCACTTTCCCATTCCTTTTGGAGAAGTAGAGAGTGCAGAACTTACATAGACAAAAGAGAAAATTTAAGATGTTCCTGGAAGGAGTGCCCATTTCAGACTTTGGGTTTATCCTTTTATTCATGGAGTAATCGATGTTAGTTATTAGTGATTGTGTTATATACTATTTAAAATTTTTGCTTACCTCATCTAAATTATGTCATAATGATTATATCAGCTGGGCAGAGATTACATCTTAGGTGAGGAAAACAAGGCTTATAAATATTAAGTAATTCTCCTGCAGTAACATTGCAAAGAGCAGCAGAAGCAAGAATTGAAATAAAACACTGTGCTACAGATGGGCACTTAGTTGTTCCTCCACTTAATATTGAGAGATCATTTTTCTGTGTGATACAGAAGTAGGAAAGAATAAAAGCACACACAGTTCTTATACTTATAGAATTATTACCAAAAGGTAGAGGTAGAAAGATGCCAGCATCTAGGATAACTTACACAAGTAAATATTTCATCATACTCGTGGAATTCTGAGAGGATCAGGCTGGCCTGAGCTAGTAGAGGGTGAGCGAAAGGTTCCCCAGGGCCCTGGACATAGATTTGAGTTCTGAATGATGAGGAAAGAGCTGGACGATGGGGCTCCTGAGAAGTAGTGGTGCTGTGGCATTAGGATAAAGACTTGGGGTGCGGTGGCACCTGGAGTAAGAACACCATAACCAATGCTAGAAAGCAAATGAGAGGAGGTTGTGGGGTGGGCCTGCTGAAGGCAGTAAGTAGATAATGCACTTGACAACTGACAAAGCCCATTGCTATAACTTGCTCATTTCATAATGGAAAAAAATTTTTGAATGCTAGTGAGCTGATCTTTCTGCATTAAAAGAATGTCACTTTTCTGTTGAATTCAATTGATTTCAAGACTATGCAGTTTTATTACATTACTAAAACTTCAAAAATTGCATTAGTGTCTGAGTCTTCATGAGACAGAATGGTTATTGGCTCATCAGAGCTTTCACCAAGAACAATCTAAAAATCTGGATAAAGCACAATACAGAAGCTATTTATTTGCAGACAGCAAAGTGGAGTAGAGGCCATGAGCAAAGTGGCCAAGACTTGGGAGGACAGAAAGCTCAAGCAGGTGAGCCGAGACCAGCACCCGCTTTTACTGCAGTGGCATTTTCCAATTCAGGGCTGAGAATTTATATGCTTCACAGTGTGTGAGAACGTCATGCTGCATGCTGAGGTCTGAGGGGCGGGAGATTAAAATTTTCAGCTTCAAAACTTCTAAAACTTACAGAAGTGCTATCACCAATTTTTAAGTCAAAGATCAGAGGTCAGTCCAGATTTACCAGAAAAGGGGGTTAAGGATAATACTTTTGACAGTAGCTGCAAATATAGAAGGGCAAAAGAGATCTGAGTGTACCAACAGCTTTACAGGACTATCAGTGAGCCTCAACTACAATGATTTGAATATATTGGAGGAAAGGATAGCCCTTCTTTGGAGGAATAGCGCACTGATTGCAAACTATATGATACAAAACCTCAGACCATCCACAACTTAATAGTAAAGTACTAGAAAAGCCAAAGGCTAAGATCATGTTGCAATGGCAAGCAGAAATACTGAAATGACACCAAGGATTTGGATGCAGGTTTATTGGTGCTGAGGGACATTGACTAGGATCTTTCCCAAAATATCAGGTCCCGATATCTGAGGGTCTGAGGCTTATATGGGATAAGCAAGCAGCAGGTAGGAGGTAAAATGGATTATCAGGTGGGAACTGGTTCCTACAACGTGCATCATAGTGGCCAGCTATACATCACAATGACCAGCCTTTTCTAGGGAACAAAAGTAATAGAAATTATAACAGGAATTGTTATCCAGGCAACTAACAAACTGAACTATACTGGCTGGGGTGGGGGTATCTTCTGCTATAATGTAAGAGAAAACTAAAAGGAAAAAATAGAATATGTCCACAAATAATACTGAAAAGTCTTTTAAAGTAAAGATTAAAGGTTTTTTAAAAATGGAGAAAAATGTAAAGTTTATGAGAAAATTCAAAAGCAAAGTAGAATTTTAAAATAAAAATTACATTCTGGAACTGAAATTATTTCCTATTTGGCATTATGAACACATTAGTTGGTTCTACAGCAGATTAGATACAAAGATGACAGTATTGAATAATAATAGTTGAAAATATCTAAAAGGCATCAAAGAGGTGAAAATGCACATGTAATTCAACAGAAAGTAGAAATAAATGGGAAATATCTAGCGTGAATATAGTTGAACTCTGAGAGGAGGGATTGAGATAATACAATATTTGCAGGAGTAGTGTGGAAAATTTCCCAAAAGTGGGTAGGGGAACTGTCTTAATTAGTTTCTCATTGCTGGGAGAAAACACCTGAGACCCACAAGTTAAAGAAGGAAAGGTTTATTTTAGTTCGCAGACTGCAAAAGTTTCAGTCTCTAGTTAGGTGGCGCTAAGTCAGGGTGGCATGACAAGGGACACCGCAGAGGAGAAACAATTCAGGGCAGGGCAGGCAGGTGGCCAGCACACAAAGAGGAAGCCTCTTGGGGTGTGTGTGTGTGTGGGTGTGGGTGTGGGTGTGGGTGTGTTATTGGAAACCGTCACCAACTGATTTATTTACTCAGGGCTCAGTTTTATCATCTAAAACTCAGTGAAATAATACTTTACACAATCCTCAGGACTCTCATAAAGGCTAAATTAAATAAGACATGTACAGGGAAGCATGTAATAGAGGCCTGGCACGTAACAATTGACATGTGTTTCTGATATCTGAAAGAGAGATTGGAGCAGTTTGCAACAAACAAAGAAAATTTAAGATGAGGAATATGCTATTGGTTTTACTCTTTTTTCCCCCCAGAATCCTGTTGTTCCAGGCCACTAGCGAAGGCAATGGTGAGCAGGACTCATGGTGCCAAATTCATTCAGGACTTGGACATGAACACAAGATAATTCCCACTTGATGGAGCTACTTTTTTTATGGGAAAGTTGAAAGGTAAGGTGGAAAATGTACACCATTGAGTGTGTCATGTTGGCTTTGTACTTTTACAACTGTGAGCCAAAGTAAACTGTTTTTAATAAAGTTACCTAGTCTGTGATATTTTGTAAATATCAACAGAAATTGGATTAAAACAAGCTTACTGTGTTTTAGGTCTGGGGTATGGAAATAGCCAAAGGAAATACTTCCATTCCATTCGTGTGTGTGTGTGTGTGTGTGTGTGTGTGTGTGTGTGTTTCTGGGGATTAAATCCAGTACCTTCCCACCTAACTGCACCCCACTCCTTTTCTAATTTGATATAGGGGCTGACTAAATTGCTAAACTGTACAGTCTAGCCTTGAACTTGTGATCTTCCTGCTTTATCCTTTTAGAATCCTGAGATTACAGTTTGTGCCAGTACCCTTGATTAGAATCTCTGTGCTCACAGCACACAGTTGATGTCACGTGAAAGCATAAATCACAAAGCCGTGCATCACTACCTCAAGGGAGCTCTGAACAAGTGTGGAAGCTCGTCGGGTACCACGTTACTTCCAGCTTCCAGGTGATGTCTCCAGGATGGCTGACAACAATGTTTCCAGGAATTCCTCCTGTGACCCTATCCTGACGCCCCATCTCACCAGGCTGTACTTTGTGGTGCTCGTCGGAGGACTGTTGGGACTCACCTCCATCCTGTTCTTGCTTGCCAAGATGAACACCCGCTCTGTGACCACCACTGCGGTCATTAACCTGGTGGTGGTCCATGGGGTGTTCCTGCTGACTGTGCCTTTCCGCTTGTCTTACCTCATCCAGGGGAAATGGTCGTTTGGCTTGCTCTTCTGCAGACTCGTGAGTGCCATGCTGCACATCCACATGTACCTTACTTTCCTCTTCTATGTGGTCATCCTGGTCATCCGGTACCTCATCTTCTTCAAGCGCAAGGACAAAGTGGAATTCTACAGGAAATTGCATGCTGTTGCTGCCAGTGCAGCCATGTGGCTTTTGGTGGTGGTCATCGTTGTGCCTGTGATCTTTTCTCATTATGGAAATAAGGGGGACTACAATGACCAGCACTGCTTCAAATTCCATAAAGAACTTGTCTACCCATATGTGCAAGTCATCAACTACATGATAGTCATCCTCTTCATAGCCGTTGCGGTGATGCTCTTGGTCCTTCAGGTCTGCATCATTGTGTCCATGATGCGGAAGCTCCACCACTCCTTCCTCTCCCACCAGGAGTTCTGGGCTCAGCTGAAGAACCTATTTTTCATAGGCATCATTCTCACTTGCTTTCTGCCCTATCAGTTCTTCAGGCTCTATTACTTACATGTTGTGGCTCAGTCCAAGGTCTGTAATGACAGCTTGATATTCTACAATGAGATCTTCTTGAGCGTAACAGCAATTAGCTGCTGTGACTTGCTGCTCTTTGTTTTGGGGGGAAGCCATTGGTTTAAGCAGAAGATAATTGAAGTGTGGAATTGTCTGTGGCGCCACTAGCTGGGAACTGCAGTAATGACTTCTCAGTGGGAGGGAAAAGGGGGAGGGAAGGCAAGAATGATATTTTATCACTTCCCATGCTTTTATCCAGCTGAACAGAAAGACTAGAATATCAGAGCAATCCTCCTAATCATAATTTATTCTTCATGGAAGATGGCGAAAGATGCCATCTGTAGACCAGCCACATTGTTTTCCAGTGTCTAGTGTCTGCTTGGTCCATCTAGGCAACGTTGGTCTAATGAGTGCTATAGTTTCTTAGCTCTCTAACTTTTGTACTTTAAACTATGGTCTTTTCTTAGGCTTCCCATTAGATTCATCTGTCTAGTTATGTCACTCCACTTTTCCTTAGTAAGGTTAGTGCTGGTCCAAGTAATCCAGATACAAATATACAAACTCTACTTGACACACCTGTGAAGGAGCCTTGTTCCACTAACACCTTGGCCAAACTAAGCAAAACAAAGCAACCTCTCCCTAAAAAAAATGAAGAAAGAGAACAGTAAGACTTTTTTTAGACTTTTATAACTTTGGTGAGAATTCAAGTACCTGAAAGTCAAGAGAAACTCAGTCCACGGATTTGTGTTATAATAAAATTTTCTAGATATATCTTCTGAAAGATCAAGATTAAGGGCTGAAAATTAGATGCTGAACATCACAAATTGTACTCTTCCTCCAAAAGTCATTCACAGGTTTACTAAACATGTCTCAGCAACAGTGATACTGAAACTTTGAGAGTGTTTCTCACCAAGGTGCTGTTGGGCATTAAAATGAATTCCTAACGATAGCAATTAAAATGTTTTCCTTTTCTGGCTTTTGTTTGCTACTCCGGGCTAAAGTTAGCTTAGAAATTTTTCTGGAGACAGAAAGTTTGTACTGAAATTCTTACAGCTCCATTCTTGTCTTTTTTAAAAATGTATCTAATGCAGGGTCTACAGGGTCTCACTGTACATACTGGACTCGTAGTGATCCTCCTGTATTCACTCTCCTGAGAACTGGGATCTCAGGCATGCGCCACTGTGCCCAGTCCCATTGCCCTCTCAGTGCGCCCTGGGTACGGGGCTGGCACGGCACAACAGAATTTGAACTCCATCCCTTTCTGCCTAAGCAGGTGCTTTAGTCCATTGAATTATCTGACTCACCTTTCCATTCTAGTTTTAAAGATTTGCTTCGTAAAAGTAAATTACAACTACACTCTTAACAAAAGACCTTATGAAAAATAAGCATTAATTTGGCTTCTAGGAGATGAGGCCGGATCAGAAAGATTTCCTGAATATTTGAGGAATGAATGACTCAATGTACTTTAAAGTAATGAAGTAATAATCCTGTGAACTATGAAATAATTTGAGGTTTTTGCATTCTGACCAACCTTTTGCAGTTTTATTAAAATATAACATATAGAATATTAAACTAATTTTGCTTCAAGAATATCTATCAGTGGCTAGATTGATACTTGTGTGATTTTTGCTTTTTTTTTTTTTTTCCCCTTTTGGCCTTTTTCTATTGGCCTAAAAGTTTGATAACCTTAGAACTTTCAAAGAACTAATCCTCTTTCATATTTGATGCACCAGAAAATCAAAAGAAATGAGAAATGTAAATAGAAGAACAAAATAAATTAAGAGAACATTTTTGCAAGCAAAGTAGGTCTGAGATTTAAAGGACTTTCTTAATTTATTATCACTCTACCAGTCCACAAACTCTTCAGAGGTAAAATCTGTGTCCTGTGAGTTTCTCTGATTGTAATTGTTGATTCCAAAGAAGAGGTATCAACAAACGTCCAGCATGACTTGTTAGCCAATTTTCTCCTGCTTCACAATTTTTCTTTTTTTTATATTTTTCTCCTTTAAGTTATGTTTTTATTACTTGTCTTTCATTCCCACTTATTTTCTTTGGTTTTCCTCTCAGTTTAACCCATAAATTTGTAAGGCAAGTACCAAAACCCAATAACATTGTAATAAAATGTATAACACCTATGAAGCATGTAAGAAAATAAAGACATATGGTGAAACATTTAAAGAGATATTTTTGTGAGTTCCATACATTTTCTTTTCTTATGTTAGTGCTATGATAACATAGTCTATCCTATAGGTTGTATTATGGTCTGTTCAGATTTTAAGTATATAGAGGTCAGGCAATTATGACTTTCTGTATGTTATAATGTATAATAAATGCCTGTAAGAGGGCCAGCCAAATAGCTCAGTGGGGCCAAATGCCTGCAAGCAGATGTAGGGGCCAAGGGTTCAATCCCTGGGCCTGCTGGGCCAGCCTCGGCTCCAGGGTGCACGGAGATGGCAATTGAGACTGAGTGTGGTGGCGGGAACCTGTAATCCTAGCATTTGGGAGGCTGTAAACAGGAGAATCAATATGAATCCAATCTAGTAATGAGACCCTGAACACCCTGTAAAACCTTCCCTAAAATACAGAGAGAAAGGAAGGAAGGAAGGAAGGAAGGAAGGAAGGAAGGAAGGAAGGAAGGAAGGAAGGAAGGAAGGAAAGAAGGAAACTAAAGCATGGTGGGCACCTGTAATTCCAGCTCTTGGAAGGCTGTAAACAGGAAGATTACTATGAGTCCGATCTAGAATAGTGAGACCCTGAACACTGCGTAGACCCTTCCCTAAAATACAAAAGGAAAAAATATTCCAAATATAGGAATACAACATTAAATAATATCCAATATCTTGTCAGTATTTACAGAATAAATAGAAAACTGCTGGTTGCCTGCTCCTTGCCTTTCAGCGCTATTGCAATGAATCTCGCATAGGAACGCAGACAAGGGAAGCCTCAGCAGCCACCTCTAGATGTCGCTGTTATAGGAGAGGACGACTGGCATCTGATGGTGGGATCAGCATGGGACTCCTTGGACAAAAATGTATTGCTAGTTCTCGCTCTGTTTTTGAAAGATCTGGATCTGCCTGACATTTATGAAGCAAAACATATGTTGGTATTAATCAAATTATTAGAGTTTATTCAATTTGGAGGTATGGCTGAAATTTTGAAATTTCCAGAAATGTATCTATTATTGATATTGAGGAGAGATTTCAGTCTGATTCTTTCAGGATTTTACAAAGAGCGGTTCACGACATTGGGAAGTTGTGTGGTTCATAGCAATACCATCTTTGTTATTAGAGTACAAAACAACACAACTGGAAACCATGACTACATCTGAGAATTATAGATGCCAGCCAGCAACTACATCATTTTTTCCTTTAGTCCTTATATGTAGCACACTCTGACACCCCCATTATTTTATTGTGAATAATGTTCTTCCCTGAGTATGTTGGTGCACTCCTGTAATCCCAAATCTAAGGTAGGAGGATCTCAAGTTTAATCCCATTCTGGGCAATGTAGCAAATTAGCAAGTTTGTGCCTCAAACTAAAAACATAAAAAGGGGCTAAAATGTAATTCAGTTTAAAGACACTGTTTCAGTACCCTGTACAGGAAAAAAAAAACCTTTTATTTAATCACTTATATTACAGTTGAAATATTATATAAGCAATATCTATAGACATGGTTTAGATTATTGTTATAGGAAAATTATGAAATCCATTTTAGAATTATTAAAATTAAAATTAGTCTATGAATTTTATTTTAGAACAGTAAAAATGACAAAATCGTATTTGTGACAAGCAGCACTGGGTCTGAGAAGCCTGAAAACAACTGAGCTGAGCCGGAGTCCCTTCCCAGGGTAGGCTTACGCCTCGCGGCCTGAGGGACAGGAGGAACGTCCTGTATTTTGCAAATGATTTTAGAACTTGATTCCGTTCTAAATTATTCCTTTTGTTTATGCGGCAACTTAATACAATTTTAAGAAGATGCAAAGAAAATCTGTAGGTGTGTTTTCGTTTTTAAACAATAAGTAAAGCCATTCTCTCAATGCCTTACAATTCTCACATAAACTTATTCTCAACATCCCTCAGATTCTGAACCCAGAGATGATGGTGCTGTTGGAGGTCCAGGCAGAAAGGCCATTTCAGGGGTCCGTTAAAATATACCTTTGGGCCCGGGGTATAGCTCATATCTCAGCAACAGCACCTGCATAGCAAGCACGGGGCTGTGAGTTCCGTTCTCAGTACTGTCTCCCCAGTCCTCCATCCCCGCCAAAAGTACTCTTCACAGCTGTTGCTCCTTTCTTAATTGTCCAGTGAGAAAGTCACTGGGTCCCCACTTATCCTCAACCTTATACAAAATAAGGAGAAAAACACGCTGCTCTTTTAGTGCAATGAGCACTGTGCGGATCGATGCAGCAAGCACAGCGAATCCTTGCCATCCAGGATCCTCCGCTGCAGAGCTACAGCTGAAGCACATCCCAGCGGTGCACCCACGCCCAGTGTACGGCAGCGCACGTCTTACCAGCTAAATCCTGCAACGGACCTATACGTCCACTGACAGATGGATAAAGAAAAAGTGGTAACTGCACGTATGGGGGTACTACTGGCGTACAAAGAAGACTAAATTTGAGACATTTGTAGCAAATTGGATACATAGGGAAAATATAATGTGAATGGAAATAAATCAGACGCACCAGCTTCAATACTATATGGTAGTTCTCATTGGAGTCAAGCTGAGTACAAAGAGCAAAATAAAAGATTGATGGAAGGAAGCAGGGAGGTAGATCTCTGTAAACAGGAAGGGTCCAGAAAATTGAGAGCCAGGGATGGCGGGAGAGGTAAAGTGAAAAGATTGAGGCTGTGTCACATGCACGCCCCAGATAGCCACAATGGCTGATCTAAATGGATTTTAAACAGGAGAAAAAAAAAATAACAATAAGAATGAAATGGGGGACAGGAGAGGGAGGGAGGCAAGTGGGAAAAAGAAAGGAAAACGAAAAAGCAGCAAGATATGCTGTGTAAATGTGCCCACTCCCTAAAATGAATGTAAACTTCATGTGCAGGAAACATGTACTAATAAATCTTTTTCACATGTAAACTGTCAGTAATAGCATCGAAAAGAAAAACTGCATTCCTGGCCTGGGAGCATCACTCGGTGGTGCAGTGCTGGCCTAGCGCACTGTGGCCCTGGGCTTGGTGGTCAGCACTCAACAAATTGCACTCCTAGGTTGCGATGCTGGTTCCGGAGAAAGAGAGCGTCAGGCCCATCCCTTCCAAGCCATCAGCTTTTGGGTGTGAGGTCAGTGGGAGGAACATCTGTGATGTTGTCATTGCTTGCATTGTCAGATTTGCCCATTTAACACCAATAAAAGGGGGCTGAGGGCAGAGACTCCCCTGGCTTTTGGGACTGGTATCAGTGTGGAACTCTCCAGTGATGGGACTTCCCGGAAGCAGCATTTTGGAAGCAGCCACAAGTGAGAGTCCTACCTACGGGGGAACAGGAGGTGCGACCCTGCTTTGCTAATGCCGAGAAACCTCAGCCTATAGTGGTGATCAGAGACAGGAGCTGCTGGAAAATGAGACCTCATCTGGGAAACCCTAGTAGGGGAGAGGAGGGCTTGGTTGAGCTTTGAGCAGGAATCAGAGCAAAGGAGAGGGGAGACAGCTCAGGAGGCAGATGGGATGATGGGGTCACATTCAAGGTAGATAGTTTTGAACAGCAGGTAAGAGGATGCTGGAGATAATTCCTTGTTTTGTTTGAAAATTGCCAAGCATTTTGGGGCATTAGCAATAAATGGTCCCTACCTTTCAGTGATAGTCTGGAGCAGTGACCTTACAGAAGGCATGGCTTGGGTACACAGTTGTCGCCATTGACCGCCTGCCCAGTGGCTTTGGACGGACGAGGATTTTCAACTCATCTCTAATCAAAGAAGAAAGAAGCACTTGGCATTTAGGAAAAGCAATATAGAGTCTCCCTTGTTACCATGAGAATAGTATCTTCAACATCCAGAGTAGGCGCTCCCCGGGTGCATACCTACCTTCCACCGCTCTTTACACCTCTCAATTTCCTGCAAGTCCACAGAACTTGAAGGCACGAGGCCCAAGAAAGGCA